ATGAAAATAGGTTGTTCCTTGTTATATTAGGGCTTAGTTTTTGCCCCTTACTCTTAATCTTACCCTAATCCCTTCCTTCAAAAACTCTGGTTCCATCATCTATTTTCAATACCTTCTAAACATCATTTTCCTCCACGTCACTATTCCTGCACCTTCTCATTGTCAATATATATTCTGAATCAAGCTTGTAGCTAGTTTTTCTCCCTATCTTCGCTCTTATCTCTTTGGAATCACAACTTTCTTCATCCCTTAAATGCTTGTCATGTGTGTAACACTCCCAATTTACCTCTACTGTCCATCCTTCATTAATTCTCAGTCCTCATCTTATTTGATCAATTAGTAGAATTTTATTCAGTTCATCACTCTTTTCTCCGTGTAACACTTTCTTCATTTGCCTTGGCAGACACACACACTTTTGACATTTTCCCAACCTCAGTGATTTCTCTTTAGTGCCTTTTGCTGCTCCCTCCTCTGTTTCCAGCCTTCCTGTTGAAGTACCCAGGGTTGGTCCTTGGTCTTCTTCTCTGTACATCACTATGTTGGTAATCCCAATTAGTTTCATAGCTTTAAATACCACCCAATGTGCTAGTAACTCCCAAATGTCTATCTCGGAGCAGTGTTCTCTCCCAAACTACACACTCATAAATCCAACTGCCTAATAAGCACCTCTGATTGTCTAACAGACATGCAAGCTCATCATAGAGGACTTTGAACTCCCAATCTTACCCTGAAACCAATTCAGTAAATAGGGACTTCCCTATCTCAACTAATGTCTAGGCTGTCCTTCTAGTTGTATAAGCAAAAACCCTGGAGTCATTCTTGAATTCTCTCCCACACACCCTCTTTTCTTCTGTCGGGAAAACTTGTTGGCTCTACTTCCAAAGTATATCTAGACTCTGACCCTGTCTCCCCCTGCACCCCCCCCCTTCTACTGCAGCTATCTTGGTCCGAGTCACCAGATTACTGCAATAGCCTCTTAACTGTTCTTTGTGTTTTTACCCTCGCCCTACTATACTCTATTCTTAATACAGCAGCCAAAGTGATCCCTTTAAAATGTGAGTCAGACCACGTCATGCATTCGCCAAAAATCCTCCAACGGTTTCCTGCTTTATTGAGAGTAAAAGCCAAAATCCTGGCAATGACCTACATGCCCTGTAGGATCTGTCCCTTCCATTCCCTCCGTAACCCCGACCACTGTGTATCTCACTCACTCATTCCCTTTCAGCCACCAGCCTTCTTGCGTTTCCCCAAACAGGCTGGCACTCCTCTGTTTTGGGATCTTTGCTCTCGCTTCTCCTCTGACTGGACTACTCCTTCCTCAGACACCACTTGCCTAAACAACCTCGCCTTCACGTCGTTGCTTGCACATCACCTTCTCGATGAGGTCTACTCTGATCACCCTATACCACCTCACCAAGTAGGTCTGATCCTCCTGATTCTACTTTTTCTTATTTCCATGTCGCTTAATCTCTTAGACTGCAAGCTCCACGAGGAAGGACAGCTTTGTCTTGTCCACTAACATAGCCTGAGTGTCTTGAGTCGGGGAGGCATATACTGGTGCTCAGTGAACACTCCCTAAGTGAATGAACAAACAAATACGTGAATCAGTGATGCGTGTCCAAGTCAATATTGAATCCTCAGCAATCCACCTGGGAACATTCCTCTGCTCCACAGCTAATTCTACTTTTATTACCTCACCACTGAGGCTTTGAAACTCACTGGCTCTGCGCTCATCACTTGGTATCTGTCCACAGACCAGTATCTCTTACAATGTTGCTCATGTCATCCCCATGCCCATGTTGTCATGCTTGGCCACTTTAGGGCTTCAGGCCCCTCCCCTTGGTCTGCTCTTATTGTCTTTACTCACTGCCATGTCCTGCGTGAACCTCTGCTTCCTCCTCACAGTATAACCTGCCTGCACACTATTACCTCCACTGCTTTGCCACAACCCATATTCCTACCCTCAGTGCCCTCCCCCGGCTCCTCCCTAGATGTCCATCCCAGTGCACTTCCTGCTTCCTCTGCAAGGCTTTCCTGACCCTCCAGCTCACAAAGATTTCTCCACTCCCTACATTCACAGTCCTTATAGTACGGACTCTCCCCCACCACACCCCCCTCAGCTGAAACAGCCCTATCCTGCCTTGTGGTAGCTCTTAGAGGGTTTTTTTTTTAAAACTACATTTTTATAAAACTCATGAATTGTTATATAAAATTTCTGTGGATAAAAGTCCGGGGAAAAGGGAACATTTAATTTTTAATTGTGAGGCTGATTGATACGTTTTCTCTCTCTGTTTATATTATAGGCTCCCTGAAGGGGGAAATACTTCCCTTAAACTTGCTTATATCCCATAGACTCAAACACAGCACTAAGCATCTGTGGATGAAACAAGTGTTTGCAGGGTAATTGAATGATTCAGAATTCACAGAGGGAGGAGGCCACAAATGCTAAGGCATGTTGCTGGAGCACAATGATCAAAGGAATAAAATAATGGAGTCAACCAAGGTTAAAAATAAAAAACTGTGTAAGGGGGGGTATTTTCTTTTCATTAACCATCATTAATGTGGCTGGTAATTTGAGAATATGAAGCACTACCTGATTTCAGTTCTTTACTTACTAGTATAATCAGGTTGTTTTGTGCAGATATTTTTTCCGATTTGAAAGAGGGGGAAAATGCAGCTCTTCGGTGCAGCAGACGGGACCCTGATGCCTTAAGTCTGAGCCCTTTTCTACTGCGGTGAAATGGCCACAAGGCCCACGAGACCACTTTGCCAGGCTGGGGCCCAGGAAAGGTGCTTTTATCAGGTGACCATCAGAAGATGCAAATGAGGGCACTGTCTGAGTATCAGTGTTTGCACTTTGCTCCTCACTGTCTTTTTTTTTCTTTTTCCAGAGAGGAAGGAAAGGGAGAGAGATAGAAACATCAATGATGAGAATCATTGACTGGCTGCCTCCTGTACACCCCATACTGGGGATGAAGCTCAAAACCCGGGCATGGGCCCCAACCAGGAATCAAACCGTGACCTCCTGGTTCATAGGTCGATGCTCAACCACTGAGCCACGCCAGGTGGGCTGCTCCGTAGACAATGTAGTGGGGAAAAAAGCAATGACATTAATGTTTTGTTGTTTTGTTAAAGAGATATCATTAAAATACAAGTGTCGACATGGCCTAAGTGTTTGAATGAAACTTTATGGAAGAAAGATCTGAGCTCTTATCTCCTTTGCTCGGGAACAGGGCTCCAACCCCTTTCTTCTTCCTTGATAGGTAATCTAGTTATCTTGTTAAACCTTCACGTCCTTTTCTGCTCAAGTGCTACACAGGGACCTAAAGATCTGGGAGGCCATGATAGCATCTCTGCACTTCCTCCTCTCGGTGAGGCTGGTGGCCACAGTGAAAAACAGAAGTATCCGTTAACTACAATTTGATGCCATCTCGAAGGCACAAATCTTGTCAAGACTCAACCCTGAATGTTTAAATCAGTGGAGCAGAAAGGTGGTGGCCCAAGACTAAGGTTCAGACTAATGATGTCAACTCAACCCCTTACAACACAAAGACCGAGTTTTGAGAAGGCAAGTGGCTCAGAGCTTGAGTCTGTCCCTCTATCAAGGAGTTTTGTAACGATTTCTAGGTTCTTTCCCAGATGCAGGAAACCTGGGCCAAGAAGTTCTGTCACCCCAGCTTGCATCATCTGCTCTAACAGTCCCAGCATCACTCTCATCACTGGAGGGTAGCGAAACTGTTCCCTGGACTACTAGCCTGTGAGAAAGACAGTCACCAGAACCTCTGACATAATAAATTAATGATGCAATAATCACCCAATTCTCCAAATGTGCAAATTATTAGTATCTCGATGCAAATGTAGAAAGAATGTAAATCTTATGTTGTAGCTTCATCACTGCAGTATCTTAATTATTTCCTTGGTTACCTCATGAAGGTACTGTTTCAATTGATGGAGTTATAATTCAGCACCCCTCCGTATGTGAGAAGGCCATTTTATAAAAGGCCTATTTGCCAAAAAAAATCCAAATGGTGGTAGAGGCCACGAAGCCGTCACTGCCAATTCTTAATACTCTCCTATCTTTTAGGTGGGGGTTCCCACATGTTCACTGGCATCTAAGCTCTAACCGCAGAAGCGCTCCCCTGAGGAAGTCATCTCAGCACTGAAACTATGTTCACAGACTCGTGCAAACGAGCATCAAGGAGCTCTGTTTGATGACTGCCCACTCTCCCAAGCTGCTACTTTGCAGAAGCACCAATGGCATTTTGAGAAGACTCCGGCCCTCGTCCCAGCTGAGGGCAGGGCACTTTGCTTTCATGGTCAAAAGAGTAGGAAGCTGTCCTTTGCTGCCCTGCCCCTCTGCCCCTGCAAAGCAGGTCCCAACCCACATCTCCTAAGAGGTTAGACTGAGCGAGAGAAGACCACAGCATTCACACCAGGCCACAGCACAGAGCAGCATTCTCAGTTAGCAAACCTGCTCCCCCTGGCCAGGAGGGAACGTGCCCCAAACAACTGGGGATAACACCAGGAGATGCAAGGGAGGGAACATTCCAGGGGAAAATTTAAAAAAAGAAAAAGGGAAAATGCACAAAGCCCATGAGGCTGCCTGGTTAACCAGGGGTTAGAATGAGGTTTGGAAAATCACACATAACAGCATCTTGGCAAATCCAAAGACCCCGGGGTGAAAGACACGTGGGTGAAAGTACTTCTATTAGTGGAAACAGGAAGTTTCCTTCTTTCACCAACTTATTAAAAAATTTTTTTTTAAATCTCTTTTGTAACCCAAATTTGGACCATCAATCATTTTTACCTGCCCAGCATTTCATCCTTCCAGAGTCAAAAGAGCAACAAAGACGGGGTCCGAAGATCCCTTCCCACAGCCAATTCCAATCAGCCCTTCTCTCCCGGGGTTACCTGTGCTCAGAGCAGACATTCCCAGCAGGCATGCCACACACAGCAAGTCGCCAAACCAGACTGCGCTAAAGGGCTTCCAGGGGACTTACTTGTACTTGTGCTGGTTCCGATCGTATTGATTGTAGTGGGGACGGATGAGGAGGAGTAGAGGGGCACATGGCCGTTCTCGCACCCCAGACTTTTGTCCTGCCAGTTGGGGGCGTTGATGCAAATCCCAGAATCCCGAGAGTTCTGCCACCCGTTGAGCTTGTCGTCGGAGTTCTGTCTTTGGTGATAGTAGTGTGTCTGCCCATAATCCACAGAGTCCGAGCGGCCTCGGTTCTGGCCACCGAAGCTGGTTGACGTGCGGTCCTCCAAATGATTCAGCCACATGGCTAAAGCACTGCGGTCTTCCAACGAGGTGGCCGGATGTATCAACGCATAGGACAGCAGCTGCCTACTCTCCTCGATGTGCTGGTTGTGTTCGATAGAGTGCGCCAGGATCTTGGGCAGCAGTTTCATATACTCTACTTTTGCGTCGAGGTTTCCTGGCTTCAGCAAAGGCAGGTGAGTTAACAGGAGGGAAATCACTTTATCCTTGGATTCCTGTTGCCATTGGTTAATGATTCCTGGAAAGGAAAACAGACAGGGCACATAAGTAAACAAGACCACAATGACACAGAACACCACACGGCAAAGAGAAAGCCTGTGGGTTAGCGTCCCCATCCAGGTGCTCAGACTGAATTTTCTCAAAACAGCCCATGCATCAGATTGGGTTACTGACCTCAGATTGTCAGAGGGCAGTGCCTTCAGGAAAACATGGAACAAACGTTCTTAGATGTTTTTGGTCATTAATCTACTTTTCACTTAGGTCTCCAAAGAGGCTACAACTACTTTGGCACAACCAAACAGAATTACAGCCCTGGTTTTTGTTGTTGTTGTTTTCTTTTTCTTAGACATCTTCTGATAGATGGGGGAGGAGGAGATACAGAAGACAAAAATCTCTATAAAAAAAGGCAGGTTTAATCAAGGGTCCATATACTGGAGTCCTTGAGGATAAGGCTGCTTCCCACCCCACCCCCACCTCCAGATGTCTGTGGAAAAGTGGTTTACATCCTGCTAAAGGCATTTGTGTGAAGTTGGTAAGACTTCTGAGATGGAGAAATATGTCAAGGAAAAAAAAAGGACTCCCCTCATCCTCATGAAGTAAGCCTGCGCCTTGCTCCTAAGAAGCTGACTCAGAAAACGACTGTGAGCTCAAGTCTCAAAGGAGCAATGAACTCAGGCTCCACCGCTGACCACGTATGGAAGGTAGCTTTCTCTGTATACAAGGTATGTCTGGTTGTCTCTGTTGTGGTAAAATATATGTAACATATTTATCATTTAAACCATTTTTTAAATACATTTTTATTTATTTCAGAGAGGAAGGGAGAGGGCTAGAGAGATAGAGAGAACATTGATTGGCTGCCTCCTGCCCACCCCATACTGGACATCAAGCCTGCAACCTGGGCATATGCCCTGACCAGGAATCAAACCGTGACCTCCTAGTTCATAGGTCAACGCTCAACCACTGAGGCACACCGGCCGGGCTAAATCATTTTTAAGTGCACAGTTCAGTGGTACTAAGTCCATTACAATGTAGAGCAACCATCACCACCATCCATCTCTAGATCTTTTTCATCTTCCCAAACCAAAAGTCCATACTCATTAAACAGTAACTCCCCATCCCCTCCTCACCCCTATCCCCCGGCAACCACCATTCTTTCTGTCTCTGTGACTTTGACTACTCTGGGTACCTCATAAAAGTGGGTTCACACAGTATTTGTCCTTTTATGACTGGTTTCTTTTATTTTGCATAATGTCTTCAAGGTTCATCCATATGAAGATCTGTTTCTAACACACTCAAAAGGATCTCTTCAGATCAGAACAAACCTGCTGACTTTAGGTAAACATGGATATACAATGCACTTCGCTTGACTGGCCTTTGAGAAGTAGCTTGTCCTGGGGACTGAGCTATCCACAGGACCTTCGGCCACAGGAAAGAAAGCTCTCTTCTAGAAAAGTCATTCCTGATACCTGAAAAACTCAACTTGATGACCCTACAAGGAGAGGCAGTCCCACTGCCTTTCATGCAGTATCTGCAGGGGTGCAAAGGAGTTTCTGGGATTGAGCATAAGGGCTTCACAATTCTAGAAAGGCAGAAACATATCAGAATAAACTCCAGAGGCATCACTGACTAAGTTGCAAATGCAACAGCCACGTACTCTGAAGGCCTCTCAGGACCACAGGGGTGTATTCGGAGAAAAGTATCGGCAAGATATGTAATGAAAAAATGTGGGTTTTGGAGTCAGGCAAACTTGGGCCCGAATCCCAGATCTGCCACTTCATTTGCAGCGGAGGCTTGGTCAATTGATTATTTAACGTCTCTGAGCCTCAACTCTCTTGTCTGTCAAGAGCGTTACCAAGAGCATCTGCTCTCCGTGTGTTGTAGGATTAAATGAGGTAACGTATCAAAATAACCATTCAAGTACTTGATGGTGGAAATAAGTCCTTCTACTTGTCTCTATATTAGTCAGGCCCACAGTAGAGTGATATTGGGTGGTTTTGGATACCAAGTTTTTAAAAAAATATATTTTTATTGATTTCAGGGAGGAAGGGAGAGGGAGAGAGAGATAGAAACATCAATGATGAGGAAACTAAGATGGCGGCAGAGATAAACACCGGGAAATTAAGGCCGCTCACAACAATTGATTAATACCTCAGAGAAACAATACGGACTTCATCCAGAACCATAGGAAGCCTGGCTGACTGTAAACTCTACAACTAGAAGGAAGGAATCGCACAAACATCAATGATGAGAGAGAATCATTGATCAGCTGCCTTTTGCACACCCCCTACTGGGAATCGAGCCCGCAATCCGGGCATGTGCCCTTGACCGGAATTGAACCCAGGACCTTCAGTCCGCAGGCCGACACTCTATATCCACTGAGCCAAACCAGCTAGAGCTGGATACCAAGTTTTAAAAATAATGGACCAAAGACGACCCAGAATAGGTCACAAAACCTCATCAGAGTTGGAAAAGGTGGACAAAGTAAAAAGGTAAAAGGCAATGGGGTTATTGAGCTTACAATTGAACAATATGAAAAGACTAGAGGCCCAGTGCACAAAAATTTGTGCACTCGGGGGGCAGGGGTCCCTCGGCCTGGCCTGTGCCCATTTGCAGTCCAGGACCCCTTGGGGGATGTCCACCTGTCAACTTAGGCCCACTCCCCAGGGGAACAGGCCTAAGCTGGCAGGCAGACATCTTCCTGGCAGCCAGGGAGCCCTCGGGGGATGTCCGAATAAAGACTTAGGCCCCCAAGGGAGCTGTGATGAGGAAGCTGGGGTGACAGAGGAGCCACGCTGTCCTGCCCCGCCGCCCTGGGTCGGGTCGCACACAGGATGTCCACTGCCCCGGGTGGCAGATAGCAGGCCTGGATGGCAGCGAGGCAGGTGGGATGGCGCTGACCCACCCTGCCTGCAGTATGCAAATTAGCCACCATCTTTGTTGGTGGTTAATTTGCATATCATGCTGATTAGCCAATGGGAGGCCAGTAGAGATCTCTAAAGGAGATGAACAGTCATTTGGAAGTGGAAGTCTTCAAATTGAGGCAGGAGAGATTAAAATGGGATGTGGAGAAGAACCAAGTGCCAGAATGACAAAAGACCCAGAGGAGTCTCTAAGAAAGGCTCTACGGTCTGTCCTGGGGGCACGAAGAATAGAACTAGATGGTCTACAGAAGTGGATAGATATTGATATGGACTATGGAATTTCACATAAGGAATTTTAAATTTTCTAATATTCAAAGTTAAAAAGGAGGTGAAATTTATTTTAATGATAAATGTTATTTAATCCAATATGTCAAAATATTATTATTTCAACTTGTAATTAATCTAAAGTTATGGATAAAACATTTTCCATTCTTTGCTTTGTATGAAGTCTTTGAAATCCAGGGTGTATTTTACCACCAACAGCATAACTCAGCGTACACTAGCCACAGCCGGAAGGCTCCGAAGCCATGCGTGGCTGTGGCTACTGCACTGGCTTGCACAGAACTAGAGACATTCAGATGGGAAGGTGGGTGGGAGGGTAGAGATGACCTCGGCAGGTCCCTCCCAGCTCCCTGACTATATTTAGCTAACTGCCACCTGACACAAGACAACCTTCATGCATCCCACTAGGTACAGCCTCCCTTTTAAAGTCGCTCCGGGAGATGGAAAAAGCACCAATTCTAACTTTCTCATCAATACATTTTCAGCAAACCTGGCTTGTTATAAATCATGAATATGCTTGGGATGAAGACAAAATCGCTTCACTAAGCCCAAGTTGCTCGACAGGCACTGGCAAGAAGCAAAAGGGCCCAAGAGGAAGATGAACCCACGTCCGTCGCCAACACTGATCAGATGTGTTTAAAAATACAATTTGGGAACAACCGTGAATAGAAATGCACGAGGCTCAAGGAACTCCCTAGCTCTCTGCTAGGTCACTTCCCTGTTTGGATACTGTCCCCTTCCGCAAAAGGTCAGTCTAAAAAAAAAATCAGGAACAAAAACAAACTGTAAACAGGATTCAGAGTACAAACTAAACATGTTATGCCCGCGAAGCTCCCTGCCAGGTATTAACCTGGGTTCCAGAGGAGCAACAAGCACCGCAAAGAGGAAAGGGACACGAGGGGCCGCTGCCCGGTCCCGTCCGGGCCTGAATCAGTTCTTTCTGTCCTTGGGACAGTGCTGGGACGGGGTGGGGCTGTGACGGGGCCAGGAAGACAACTATGACTTTGTTTACCTGCCGCTGGGAACATGGACATAGGACTGCCTTCCGAGGGCCAGCTACACCGACTGGATCAAACTGTTTCTGTCACTGCCACAGCGGCCAGGCTGCCAGCTGACAGGACTGAATGTTTTCTGCACACCACGCACTCTTCTAAGTGCTGTCATATAATTGCTCACTGAATCCTCACCAGAACCTTGGGCGGTAGGTCCTACAGCCTTCTCTTACAGATGAGGACACAGAGGCACGGAGAGGTCAAGGAACTTGTCCCAGGCCCCCCCGCTGGTGAGATGGCAGAACGGGAGTATGCAAAGTAGCATAAAGATGCATAAGGGTTATCATGCTAGAAGAGCTTGAACATGCTAAATGCATTAATATTTATACTATATGTAATTACATAATACATAAAATATATAATTATACACATATAACATATGATTAAGTATATAATTAGTGTCCTAGTATTACTTTTATAAATATAATACTAGAATATTTATAGAGTAGATAGATCAGAAGAGTTGGTCAGCTATGGAAATAGAGGAAAAAAGGAGTTACAGAGACAATGAGGGTGATACCCATTGTGGTTTTAAAATATGTGCACAATTTCCTTGACACTCTTCTCCAAAAGGTGGAGCCTGCTTAATTCCCGTCCCTTTAAAGGAAGGCTGGACCTAGTGAGTCACTTCCCTCAACTGGAAAGTAGCATGACAGCGTGTGACATCACGAATTAGGTAACCAGAGGCCCTGCAGCTTTGGCCTTGCTCTCCTGGTCACACACTCTGGGGGCGGGCAGCTGCCATGCTGTGTGGAGCAGCCC